GTTTCTGTGACAGATGAAACATAAACACTTCCAGTTCCCAGTGTTCAACCCGAATATAACATAGGGGTGGAAATAAGTAAATGCGTGGTAATACTCCCGCCCATAAAGTCCTCAAATAATCACAATATGGAAATTTCACCTGAAGCCGTCTCCTAACAAGCAGCGGCATGTTTCGCAGCGTCGAACAGGTCACAGCCATGGAGGTGACGGGTTTAGGGTGGCATTGGAGTTTGGCGCCCCGTAGAAATGGTCACAGGCCACTGCACATGGGTGGTTGTCAAAATCATGTCCCTTTTTGGGTCCTTCTTATAGTACGGCACCTAATATTTAGGGTATCCCCAAAACGGGCCCTAATTTTGACAACTACCCACATGGGTTTTGGTTTAGAGCCAGTTTAGGCTTTAGGGCTTTTATAACTCTTGGACTGTAGAGTTTTGGGTATCTGAGCTGTGCATGCTGGAGAAGGTGGTGGTGCAGCGGCAAAGCGGAACCGCAAATCCTACGCACAGCACGAAACCCACCCTGCAATCTCTGCACAATATATACAGAAAACATGCATAAAGTCTTCGGAACACCCTCTGAACATACAGTTGCACACATCACATATGTATATGTTTAGGCAATAAAGAATATATGTATATACGCATCTTTACGTATGAAGGTCTGCTAAAACCCAGAGGAAAAAATTTTCAATTTCCATATAATACGAAACGCGGTAAATACCATGTGAAACCTTTGAAAACCCTCTAAATGTCTTGCATCGCACCGTGCAGGTCCGCATAAATCCAAATACACTCCCTCATAAGGCTTTCGTTTCTATTTCGGACGCCTTGCGGACCATTCCTTTTGGATCCATACCAAACCCGAAACCCTACATCCGAAAGCCTCACTCAAATGCCCTAAACCCTAAACCCTAAAACCCTCCCCAAAGCCAGAATCCCATGCGAAGCCTGAGGCTGGCGGGGAGTGCCGCTATGGCCAAACGCTGCACCCTAAACCTGACCAGTCCGGGGGGGGGGTTCTTTGGGTTGAGGGTGTAGGGTTTAGGGTTTAGGGTTTAGGGTTTAGGGTTTAGGGTGCAGTGCCTTGCTTGGTAAGGTTTTGGATACTGTTGTTTAGTTTATTCGCGAATCGTGTTTGTAATGTAGGGTTTTCATTGGGGTTGGTCTGGGTGGGTTCTGGGCTGAGGTTCTAGAGTCGTAGTTATCCTTTGTAGAGATATGCTTAGGTGACACAACGGGATACGATCTATGTCTAGAAAGCCGATGAAGCATTTGAGTAGCCGAGTCTCCTTGGTGGGGCTAACTAACCATTGATATTGGGGGAGCTAAGGAGCCAGGGATCATGATAATTCCTATTACATAAGGAGCTAAAGAGCCAAGGGAACCCCCAAAACCACTGGTTAGCTAATTTCTCGGCTGTCAGCTTCGGGCTCTTGGGGTGTAGGGATTTCCTAGTCCTGGTTTCAAGATGTATCGTTGGAGGGGAGTTTTGGGGGTTCAGCTGTCGAAGCTTGGCTTAAGGGTCAGGTTTCATCGTGCAGGGTAAAAGATTTAGAGAATTTAGATGCTAGTCTTGGGCTTTTCGTTAAATGTGAGCGTTTTGGATGCACCCGCAAGCACATACGCGCACTAAGCGCTCGTTTTCTTGGTCCATTCTCGTGAAGGTTGTAGGTTTGTAGGGAGAGGGCTCTTGAAGCAGGCTCTCTTTGGAGTTCACGGTCTGCAGAGTTATCATGGATTTACAGGGTTTGGTACCTGTTCCCCTACCGCCCACCCAAAGCCTCCTTCAAACACTTGTCTGCACTCTGAACCTGCTGCCATGGAGCCACAGCCATTTCTGCTACGACTATGAGCTTTGCCCCCTTCACCCCAACCCTCTACCCTCAAACCCTAAACCCTTCGTTCTTCAGCCTGAAACCATAATTTCTAAGCGCGCAGCCCTAAACAGTAAACCCGACCTTGCTGAACAGCAGAAGTCCTCCTGTGGACTCCACAGAGAAGGATCCTTACTATTACATGGACCGGAATCCTGACTTATTGCAGCATTTCATTATGACTGTTACACACTTATAGAGTATAGTATACCTTTTACCCCCCTAAAGTGCGAAGTATAGGATGCATAGTGCCACCTATAGTTTAAAGTATAGTACATAATTAATATCCCCTAAAAGTTTAAATATAGAGTACAGTATAATATACACAATATCAAGAAGCCTCGCTATGTGGGGTCTCCCGGAGCAGCCTTGGCTGCTGGCCGGCCGAATATCAAGCTGCCCTTCCTTCGCAGGCCCAGGGCCGCATCTTAGGGTGCTTACTTAAAGGATCATGGGACGTAGTAAGCAGGTTATAATTGGGGTTATATGCCCCCTAAGTGGGGTTATCCCAATGATATCCTACTTATAACCTTACTTACTAAGTCCCATGAGCCTTCAAGTAGGGTTCAGGCTTTAGGGGCAAGGGATGTTATAAGGTTGGAAAGAGCCTTCATAAGTTTGGTTTTGAGGATGCCTAGGGTATGTTGTTTGGGCTCACATTCCAGGCTCTTCTTGATTGGGAGGAGGTTTAGGGTAATCTAGAGGCGTGAAAGATTACCAGTTCTAGTGTTTAGGGTTCCTCAATCAAGTTGCAGTGCAAGATACCTGTACAAGATATTAATTGTATTCTGGTTCAAGGAATCCTTTAAGACGCCCTATTCCATGTACCAGTTCCGTGGACTGAAACCCTTTCAGAGCCCTTGTTGCAAAATCCTGGTAGAGCCGTCAAATCAAGGCTTTCACTCGCCGTGCTCGCTCGAGCTGCATGCTTCCTGAAGAACTTGTGCCATAACTACCCTTAAGAACCCTAAGCCCTAAGCCCTAAACCCTAAACCCCTAAACCCTAAACCCGCTTCCCCCAACACCTAAAGCCTGAACCCTAGAACTGAACCACAAGCCCCTAAGCCCTAAGCCCCTGCGTGGTATGGACCCAAGGTCGAACCCCCAAGCTCCATGCTTCTGAGCATGAGCTTTTAGTATCATCTTAGCTTGTAGTTGCTAGTCCCTATAGGATAAGATACACCTAAACCCTAAACCCTAAACCCTAAACCCTAATCCCTAAACCCTAAACCCTAAACCCTAAACCCTAATCCCTAAACCCTAAACCCTAAACCCTAAAAACACAGTAAACAGCATCCTGACAATCCCTATCTAGTCTCTGAACCCAGCACCGTCTGCATAGATAGCTGACGGAGTCACAGTTTGCTTCAACCACACTCAGCGTTCAGGGTTGCGGGGTCCAGTCGCATCTAGTGACTTTTGGGGTAGACCTTAAATCCCTGAAGCTCAACGTCCTGAAGGCTGCACCTAAAGCCCAGAAACCCCCACACATTACATGATTCGTGTGAAGTTCCCTATTCCCTAAACCGTAAGCCTTAAACCCTAAACCCTAAAATTGTAAAAACCCGAAGCCCTAATTCCTACCTAAATTGGAGAGTTTGTCCCACAGAGGTGGTGCCTCGGCCTCATCATGCCATAGAAGATTGGGTGCTCTTGGATCCCATGGGGCCTGGCTCAGCGTAGCTGCTTCGGCGCTTGAATCTCAGCGTCGAGATTCTGAGAGGTTCTTGATTCTGGCTAAGGAGGCTTTTTGTGGTATACATAGGAAGCTAAGGAGCTTATTGTGGGGTACATAGGAAGCTAAGGAGCTTATTGTGGGTTACATAAGAATCAAGATGTTCCTGTTGTGCCGTTATTGTTGTTGCTATGCTTGTTACATGGTCATGCTGATGACGATGCTTTTCGTAATGCTTGCTACCGTCCCTGTTGGTATCATTCTCCTTGCACCCACTTTTGCTGCTTGCTTACTGTTGTCGTATCACATAGTCAAGTTCGTTAGCAAGAGTCCAGCAACGCCGTGTTTGAACGCTTCAGGTTCCGGGTTTAGGGCCGACTTGAAGGCTCATGGGACTTCAGTAAGTAAGGTTATAAGTAGGATGTAATTAGGATAACCCCACTTAGGGGACTTATAACCCCAATTATAACCTGCTTACTAAGTCCCATGATCCTCTAAGTAGAGTTTTAGGATTCTGCAGTTCAGAACTCCGGAGATAGGACCTTTGGGGCTTAAGCTAGGCCCTCTTCGGGGGTTTGCGAACTCAGAGATCAGAGCCAGATTTCTTCAAAACCCTAAGCCCGAAGCTCTAAACCCTGAGTTTCATCACTCCTGAGAGCGGGTTTAGGGTTTAGTGTTGGGGGCGGGGAATTTAGGGGTTAGTTGAAGGGATGGCTAATCCAGACCGCCAGTCGCATCTGGCCGATCATAAGACTCCATACCCCAGACCCCCGGGAGGATCTAGAAAGTAGATCCCCTAATTTGGGGCCCTATACTACTAAGGGTACTTTATAAGGAACCCCCCATTAAGGGATCTACTTTTTGGATCCTCCCGGGGGTCTGGGACGTGAGACCTTGCGTATGTTCCCCGAGCACGCTTGGTGTATAGCTTGACCCTGAACCATCAACCCTTCAAATTAGAACTATGCTGGATCATCCACGTCGTCAGGAAGATGGAGGTCCGAAGGCATCGTAATAAGCCCGAATTAAATCAAAACCGTACTATCATCATGTCATATACACCTTTCCAGCGAAAACAGATAGCGCTGTTCTGATGAATTAATGATTCCCCTAAACTCTCTGAAGCCCTGCTTTACGGGAGCCCTTTAAAGGCACCCCATTCCATCTCAGGTGCGAGTTCGCAGATCGAGTTCCGAAGTTGCTCTCCGCAGTTTACCGAGGACCCTCTCTTCTGCAGAGTTGCTTGTGGATGCAGAGACTGAGCTTTTGTTTTGCAGTTTACGGTTTGGGGTTACGAAGTTAAGGGCAATAGGCGGACGCAGACAGTTTTGGTTTGCTTTCCTTACGAAAATAGTAACTAGCTTTAGCTATCTGATGTTGTTTGATGTTATCTGTTGGTTTCGTAAAGTTTCTTAAAGAACCAGAGCTAGAACCCAGGACAGCGCCAACATGGAACAGATCCAGGAGGCCATCGAGAAGCTCCAGCAGAGAGGCTACAAAGTGCGGACGCGAGTTTTTGCAGCCCCTGGTTTCGATCTGACTAAGACGTGGGCCTCCTTTTTTAAGAGGAAGGAGGTGCGGTTCCAGCCGGTGGAAAGAAATCCCAAGAATCGTGGGGAGGCCAATGATGAGGCCATTGTCAGGGCTTGCAAGAAGCTAGCTGCATCCAAGAAGAACAGGTGCATTGTGCTACTGGCATCAGATTGCGGATTCTTGGATGTCCTGCAAGAAGCTGCAGAAGAAGGTGCATCGGTTCGCTTGTGCACCTCGGCTAGAAACCTAGCAGTCATAAGCCGTTTTCGACAGCGCGGTGTTCGCGTCATTGAGTTGGTATCCCAAACCAGCAGTTTCAGCGCAGTCAGAGCTATTCTGAATGCAGATGGAAGTGGGCACGTCGAGCTGACAAAGCCATTCAAGTATGACGCCAGTGAAGATCGAGAGCTGTGTAGCAACTTCTTGCATGACTTGGGATACCTGCCTGAAAGCGGCGCAAGGCTAACGCAGAGCACGGCGAAGTTCTGGTTTGCTAACTCGTTGGGGTCGCTCGTGGTATTTCCACAGCAGTTCGCCACACAAAAAGTCTGTAGCGCGGCTTCAGGGCGGAGACGATGGCAGAGGTACCGAGACGACTTAGTACTCTTGCTTCCGCTGGCTTCGCGACGGAGACTCTCACAGAAGCAGCAAAACATCTATGGAACCTCCCTCGGCTGGCAGTTGTATCGCGGGGGTGGCCCGGTGATGCTCAAAGATTCGAAAAATCTGGTCCGGCGTGCATTCACAAAGCTGGGGTATTTAGACGCATGTTTGAACACCGACATGGAGGAAGCAGCTTTGCTTTTTGTCAATGCACATGACAACACCTACAAGCTCCGGAAGGTTCTGGATTTATTGCCGTCTGAAGGAGACACTGTTGCAGAAGTCATTGACAAACTACGCTGTGCTTTCAGGTCGAATTTGACCGACGCGCGCTGGAGAGTTGCACCCCGCGACAGCTCGATCCGGCGGCTCCTCTACAAGCAAGGTTTTCTCTCCAATGTCAACGTCGCGGCCGAAGACGTGCTCGCTGCGATGTCCGAGTACAGCCGGCAGCACGGCTTGCCCACAATGCGAAGCTACAATGGATATGTTTTTCGAATATTGCAGTATCTTGACTCCGCCCCCAGCACCACCAGCTTGATTGAAATCAGCAGGTAGCTGCGAAAGCGCATCAAGTTGCTCGTAGATACGCGGGGGATTCTTGCAAGCAGTGCGAGATTTGGGAGTTTTGAAAGCAATGGGCACGGAGATTCTCCCAACTTGTAGGATCTTCATTGCCAAGGCCACAAATTATAAGCTGTGTCGAAGTTACATAAGGAATCCCCATATCGTGTGGAGCCCAGCACAGCCAAATTCCCGGCTCCAAGGCAATAATCTGTTGCGGAGGATCTGCATCTGTGGAGCGGCTTTTTGGAGCCTTTAAATCCTAAGCCTAAGCCCTAACCCATCTCGAAAGTGTTGAATCATCAACCCTTAATGCTAAGCCCTATGCCCAACCCAAAAGATTTTACGAGCAGCTCAAGGGAAACTCCGAAAGTAAAAGTGGCCGATCGCGGTTTTAATCGCTAAGGCCTAGGCAAGGAAGGACCTCCAAGGTGCTTTGAAGAAGGGTTTGCATCAGGGTGCGGGGGGTTACTATTGGGGCCTTAATAATTAGAATAGGGTCTTGGTGCCCATTATAGTTATAATGAGGACCCCCCCAAAAAATATAGTATAGGTAAATATTTAGGTTCCTACAGTAGACGGACGTTGAAGTGTTGCATAAGGTATTGTGGGGTTTTGAAAGGCTTTGGGAAGGATTTACCACAGGGCCTCGACCCTTCAACACCCCGGAACAACGAAGCTCGCACGAGCCGTAAAGCCCAAGCCCTCTACACCATATTGGGCCTTCTCGAAATCAGGATAGCGAGGACCCTACTATATCCTACTGCTTATAAGGCTCAGGGCCTCTCGCCTCCTGAAGACGACCAACAGAACGAACAGAGCTCCTAATTTGAGAACTTGAAACCTCACCACATGCCACGTCTCCTAAGTCCTCGTATCGAAAGTCCCCCCTAAAGCCCAAGCTACACAAGACCTAGACCCTAATCCCAAACTCTAAGCTCTGCAACCAAGCTAGAAAAGAGCTGGCTTGCAAAGGTCTGGCTTCCTTCTGGGCACCTGGACATGGCCCAACGAAGGTAGGGGCTTAGGGTTATCAGCACAAGCTATTCAACTTCCTCACGACACTCCTGGGTGAAGGAATATCCCATATAGAAGCTCTCTACAACTTAAGGAAGAGTTCTTAATTATTTGTGGGGGATCGGGCGTTTAGGTTTGATGTTTGGGGCTGTCGTGTTCAGCCATGAGCGGCTCTGGCCTGTAGAGCTTGGGGGTTCTCCAGTTTGGGGCTTGGATTTAAGGGTGGTGTGGTGTTTAAGGGTCCAGCTGAGAGGCTCCAATCTACTTTCTATCTAGCCCAGCCACGTCACAATAAACGCAGACAAATACAGCTCGACGTGAAGACCCTTAGCCGCCCCCGTTTGGGGTTCAGGCTCAGGGTGTTGACATCTTACCTCTCGACACCCCGAAACCTCGAAAGACGAAGCCTCAAGCCCGAAAAGTCAGCACCCTTGGGTTGGAGGAGTTCCGGGCGGTTTAGGGTTTAGGGTTAGGGTGGGCCCACGTTTTAGGTTGCTTAACCTTGCTCTCACAGGCTTTGAGCACCATAGCTTGCAAGGTTAAGGGTGGATTCAGGATTCTGGCGGTTTAAGGTTGAGGGCCTCCTGGTGCTTTATAAGGGTTTTCATGGGGTTCTGTGGGCCTGGTAGGATGGCAAGGTTTAAGAGTTTAAGCTTCCAGATTTTGGGCTCGGCGTAGATGCCTGTTTCAACTCGGAAGTTGGTTTAGCCTCCCCTAAGCCTGCTGTAATGATGCCGTAGCCCATTTTGTTGATCCCTGGGTTTGCGTTGTCGCGTTGGATTTGGGGCTAAGGGGTTGTCGCGTTTAGGCGATAAGATGAAGATGACTGGACCCCTTTTGCTTCAGAGTTTACTTATCCTGATTCGTCTGTCGTCATCATAGCCATCACGAGCAATCGCTCTCACCATCACCGTCATCATCATGAGTTCGTTGCAGGTTTCGGTTTCGGCGACGGGCGTAGAAAGTCTTTGTGTCTGCTTGAGGTTCTGCTTCTGGAGTTTGGGCTTCGGGCTCCTCAGTCCCTCACATTTCTATAGCTTGAGGACTCAGTGACTCCAAAACCCTTTTACCAAGACATTGGCCCTGAACTCTATGCACCTGTTTTGTTTATATGCTTTAGGGGTCCTTCGTTATCGCTTAGGGTAGATTCCTGAATTAGCGGCGTCCTGCTTGCGATTCCGCCCCCATGCCGGAAGGCGTGACAGCTGTCCACTACGCGGCCGAGCTGCACACATTTTCTAAACCCTAAACCCTAAAGCCCAATTTCGCAAATGCGCTATTCCACGGCAAACCCTAAACCCTATTGAGTGTCCAGCCACCTGAAACCAGCCAGGGTGAATGCCCAAAAGCCTCAAAGAATCCACGAAACCCTGAAGCCTAAACTCTAAGCCAAGAGTCCCTGAATAGAAGGACTAACCTCAACCGTATGCTTTCGGTGACGATCAGAAACAAGTCATCACCTGAGCCTGTGCGCCGAGGTGGCCGCCTTCTACTCCCTCATGCCATGCTTGCTCCGCACTCGGCATTTCACAAGGGGTTTAGGGGTTTAGTGCTCTTGGGTTTTGGGGGCTTTGGGGGGTTAGGGTTTAGGGGTTTACCGGTTTGGGGTGTAAGGTTTAGGGTACAGGCTTGGCCAGTTCAGGCATTTGGGGCTGAGGGTTTCGGGTTCCGGGTTCGGGCCTCAGAGGCTTCAGTCCCATTGTTGCTCCCATCATTGTGGTTGTGGGTTGTGGCTCGTGTGTTCATGCTCGAGCTGCTTGCTGCTATTATTATGGTTGTTAGCGTCGTGATGCTTGGCTGCCGTAACTTCTACAGATCTCCAAGTTTCCTCGAGTTTCAATGGCAGCAACCTCATCCAGGAGGCCCTACATGGGGGAATCTCAGCACTTCTGCCCAAAGATCCTCGATGCGGCTTCCCAAATCTACTGTTCAAGTCCACGAAGGCCCTGACATGGGGAATTCCAGAAGCCCTGCCCTAAGATCCTTGACTAGCCTGTTTCCGTTCCAAGGCTATTAGGCTTCATTGCCCTCGCGTTCCTCTGGACTGTCGGGAGCAGGGTCTCGGGTGTAGTCTGGGTCCTAGGGTTGTGGGTTTGGTTTTGCGGCTTGAGCTAGGGTTCGGCACAGGGTTAATTACCTACACTGCAGACCCTCCACAAAAAAGCGAAGTTGCATAGGGTTCAGGTGACTTCCGGGTCTTGGGGAATGGTGGAAGAGACGGCATATGGCAACCTTCACCCTAAGCCCTGTGCCAGACAACTCAAAACCTGAACCCTCAACCCTTTCGAGACTGCCACCCGATACCGGAGAAGGGAGCTTGACCTCCGCGCAGACAGTCTCGTGAAGGTAGACACCCATAGGGTCGAGACTTATTCTGAACACGAGGGATTGTGTGGGTGTTAACTGGGGGTAGCATACATATAGATATATACAGCCATAAGCCCACAAGCCTTGCAACATGTGGCTTAAGAGTCTCAGGGTAGGGTTGCCGACGTTTGGGGGGGGTTTGTAAAGCTTCTGGCGGCTACGGGTTTAGGGTTTGCGGGGTAGGGTTTGGGCTCTAGGTTTTGGACTTGAAGTAAGTTCGCCGGCTTCGTGAAACCGGAAACAGCCCAAACCCAAGCTTTCTAGGCACTGGTCTTCAAGCGGCAATCATGCAAATACAGGGGCCTTAACAGTTACCGATACATTTTTTTGTTTTCTTTTTTTTTTGGGGGGGGTCCTTATTATCATCGTAGTGTTACTTGCGCCAAAACCCTATTCTAATTGTCAAAGCCCCTACATGAATGTTTCTGGAGTTGCCCCTTCCAGTGGTCCCTGAGCCCGAAGTAGCTCTGGTGTTTTTGGATGGCTTTATAAGGATTTACCAGGAGATTTTGTAAGGAACCCTAAAGCCTAAAGCCTAAAGCCTACACCCCAAACCCGAAGGGGACACTTCGAATAGACAGAAGCCAGGATCCCTCAGCCGCAGCTTAAAGCTCAAAGCCGAAATCCTCAACTAAACCGTGTAGGTTCTGTTGACGTCATGCGCCAACTTTGAGCACTTACAAGCCCCATACAAGTCCCTGTTCGGGACTGGTAGCCAGAACCCAGCAGTCGGATAATAGCCCGTCATAGTTCTGGCTTTGGTTCGATAATCTACCCCAAACCCTATTCTAGTTGCTGAGGCCCTTACATGATCAGATGTTACCAATCCGACTTACCAAGTCAACAGAGTGGCCACGTTCGAAGTGCTTCCAGGACCCGTGGGCTGCGAGAAATATTGGCGTTCATCTATCAATTTCTCTGCGTATGGGTGGCTCGTCTGCAATTTTCAAGGGCTTGGATGTTCGGGGCTAGGCCTTAACTCACAAACTCAAACTCTACCCTAAACCCAAGCCCTCGAAAAGCTAAACCCTAAACCCTCAACCCCTAACCCCTAAACCCCTAAACCCTAAACCCCTAAACCCCTAAACCCCAAAACCCTTAAACCTCCCTCTAAACCCTAAACCTCTTAAACTCCAAGGCCAGAGACCCTAGGCCCTCGAGCCCCGGACCCTAAGCCGCAGCTAAACCCTGAAAGCCCGAAGCCGCGCAGATTCCCGGAGATTCCCCAAGCCCTAGACCCAGGTGAACTTCGGCTGAGATCGGAATCAGGTTGCGATATAGATTCCAGGTTTTTGGATATGAGGGTTTTAGGCCTTTTAGGCCTAGTTAAAGCTTTATCGGAGGGACGCAGGGTTCGTTTACCTAGGGATGAAGCATCGTCTCCCGAATGGCCCCGCTGGGGCCCTTCTTGAGGAGCTATGCTTTCTGGGTTTCTTAGACTCTTTCCTAAACCTCCTAAACCCTAAATCCTAAACCCTAAACCCTTCAAGTTAGAGCCCCAAAGCCCAAGTCTTGGCAGTAGCTCAGGTGATGTACGGTTTGAAGCTCCTCTTCCAACAGAAGCGCCCGGAGGCTATTGGTGGTGGTGTGGGGGGGGGGGGGGGACCGGT